AGAGAGAGAGAGAGAGAGAGAGAGAGAGAGAGAGAGAGAGAGAGAGAGAGAGAGAGAGAGAGAGAGAGAGAGAGAGAGAGAGAGAGAGACCCCTTGACCCCAACCCCGCCCAACCCCTACTACCCACCCGTTCCCCCCCCTCCAGCAAAATGATAATAAGGACTCAGATAGACAATGAAGCATCAACAAAGCATCAGCAAGCAATGTTCGGCCATACACACATAAGACGAGACAATGTAGCACAGCGGAAGACTCAAAATCACAACCTGACTCACGGACTGAGACCCGACGCATCCCATTATCAACACAGATGTGAGAGAAGAGGAGGGACCGCAAGCATGGAAAAAAGGTCCCTCCTTGCGCACACGCATGGGGAGTGCACCACGGATAGAGGGAGGTAGGAGGAGCAAGATGTAAGATGGAGGTGAGGGAGTAGACCAGCGTTGCAATAATGCTGTCCAAAAATAGTCTCTCTGTCAAGTATCCAACCAATGCCTGGCCCTGCAATGTTGAATCAGCTCCCGGGCATCATAGCCCGAAATAACTCTGCCTAACACCTCTCTCTCTCTCTCTCTCTCTCTCTCTCTCTCTCTCTCTCTCTCTCTCTCTCTCTCTCTCTCTCTCTCTCTCTCTCACTGAAAGGAGAAGAAAAAGAAGACGACGAAGAAGAAGTCAGGAGGTAGGGAAACGGACAGAGCACACCAAGGAACTGTCCCATGGAGGGTAAAAACAGAATCAAGAACTCTTTTTCACCAAACACCGTTAGAAAACTATGGAACCCCTCAACGTGTTTCGACTTGCGCGCAGTACAAGTCTGATCAGGAGGGACCAACCACCATCCGTGCAGGTGAGGGAACACAAGCCCCTCCATTAACTTTATACCCAAGAATGCGACGATAATACTGTCTTTCCTTGCTTCCCTCTTTCATCCGCCCTCTTCCTCATGAACCACCATCTGATCACCCATTCTTCTGACTATCATCTTATCCCCACACGCCATAGTCTTCCAGGAGAAGCAGCACACACGCTTAAGCACACGGCCGAGCAGCAAAAGTTGAACGCACCTGTGGCAATGTTACGAGGGAAAACTGTGGCCAATTATACTAATATGGATTTACATTCCCGGATCCCTTGACTGTAACCGGCACCAAAAAACACCAGGCACACTGCATACCACTGTCCCGGTAGCAGGTGAGTTCATGGGGCGCTGAACGAGCGCCGAAAATCAGGTCCACACTTCAAATCCCCAATCGTGCCCAAATCACTGATTATCTTCACGGAGGACCAAACCACACTGTTGCAGGTGAACGGCACCACCTGCGCCCCAAAAACAGACCAGATGCAGTCCATTCCGGATTCTATTGCCCTAATATTCACCCAGATACATCGCAGAGGACCAAACCACACTATTGAAGGTGAAGGGCACCATCTGTGCCCAAAAACCTGCCCAAAAAACTGATTAGATGCATTCCGTTCTGGATTCTGTTGCCCTACTATCCATCCAGATACGTCCAAGGAATTTTCCCTTCCACAACGGGAACAGCAACGGACCATGCCTACAATTGCCAGTCGAAAAATATAGCCCAGCCCTGCTCCCTGCGCAAGGTGCCCTTCCGCTCCGTGTCGCCCGTCATTGATCGGGTGACTGGGGGCATATGCTGTGGGGGCGGGTGGCACGGCTGACGTGGCACTAACTGCTGCTGACATGGCACCGATGACTGCTGATGTGTCACAATGGTCTGCTGATGTGTCGCTGGTGTGGCCTGCTGCCGAAGTCTGCTGACATGGCCTGCGGACGTGGCCTGCTGACGTGGCTGGTACCGTGGCCTGCTGACATGGGCTGGTAACGTGGCCTGCTGATGTGTAGTACCCTGCTGACGTGACAACTCGCCAATGCCACAGCAGAAGAGAAGAAGAAGAGAACAGATAAAAAGGGGGAGTGGGTGGGAGGGGGGGAACGACATATCCTCATATGGAAGTATCGCTCCGTTCCCCATGGGGTCACATTGATCACCCAGATAAGGAGCCACTAATCAAAATTGGAAAAGATCGAACTTTGCTTTTAAATTTTTTTGAAAATTTTTCAAAAAAATAATTAATAAATAATTTTGAAATTGCAAGTTCGGTAGGTCTCCGGAAAGGAGGACGAGGAGGATGTAGAAGAATCGAGCAGGAGGAGGACGAGGACGAGGAGGAAGAAAGGAGGAGAAGGTGGACACCCCCCCCGTCCTCCTCTCTCCCTCCCTCTCCTCCTCCGTACTCCCTCCCAGTCCTCCTCCTCTCTCCCTCCTCCTCTCTGCCTCGTCCTCGTCCTTACATGCCCAGTTTGGCGATGTGTGTAAATAGCCAAGGATCCGCAATGTGATAAGAAGGACTGAATGGACAATGCAGTGCAAGTGGGATCTCAACAAGCAATGTACATCCTGATACATACAAAATGGTGCTTTGTAGCGCAGTGGAAGACTTAGATATAATCCCTGACCTGACCGGGACTGACCTCTCTCACGTAGTGCAAGACAGCGCAGCAGAATGCTAGAATACCAATGACTAGCCCAATCGATGTCGCAGTGCAGACCAAACATGCACCATCCTCATCACAAGGTGTGAAGGGGCCTGGCGCTACACAAAGGAAGAATGCGCCCGGTCCAGACCATACACAGACGAAGAGGAGGGGATCAGACAAAGAAGAAGGGGGAAGATGGGAATGTCGTCAACACCAAGTCTTCGTTACAAGTCCCAGATAATCCCTCGTCAAATGTCGGAAGCCCAATGTCGAGTCTGGATCCAAATGTCACCAAGCCCGCTCTCTCATAGTCTGCTGATGCAGTGAAGTCAGGTAGCGAGAGGATGAGAGGGAGATGGTGGACTGAGAAGAGGAAGAAGATGAACTCTGTCTCTCTCATGTGACAGGTACTAACCTGTGACGATGGCGCCGTGCTGCAGGTACCTCGAAGGCAAAGCTGGAGCTATGGCGCTGCAGGTAAGTCTCCCTGGCCTCCGCCCAATCTCTCTCTCTCTCTCTAGTACTACTCTAGCCTCTAATAGTGCCCAGCGCTGAAGACTACTGCTAACGCTACTAGCGCCCAGCGCTGAAGACTACTGCTAGCGCTACTACTACTCCTGCAGCGCTCCTCCAGAGTGCTGCTGCCGAATCCTGAAGACTAACTCCTGCCTCCTGAACTGCACGTGAAGTGCCTGGGAAGTACCTAGGAACTACCTGCAGCCTGCAGAGCGGGCCAGTCCTATATAGTATTGGCCCGTCCAGGAGGCTGCTCTTGCCAATGCCAAAACGTGCGAGACCCTGGCGTTGAAGCTCAACCAAGGGTTGTCTTGAAAACAGGCCCAAAATGGCCTGTGCTAAAACCCTGGTCTGGTGCCTGAGTTTCAGGGCAGGTCGATCCTATGAGGGCCTGAAAATGGCCCTCCGTTTCAAGCTGAAAAGACTCAGGGCCGGGAAGGCCCTGTTTTAGGCTGAAACGACGCAGGGCCTGTAGGCCCTTGTTTTCAGGCTTTCAGGCTGAAACGACACAGG